AGTTTCTTAGTGGTTACGCAAACCCCCTCAAATAATTGTGAAATTTTCAAATAATGAATTCGATTTCATGAATAACCAGGTCACTTAGACAGTTATCCAGAATTCATCTCCAGTGTACCTATTCGGTTTCATGAAATAAGTCGCTGAAAAATCAATACTGACTGTTCCGAACAGGAACGAGTAAAATCCCAGTGACAAATTAAATAAATCCTGTCTAGATGGCTAGGAAAACTGATTGAAGAAAGTGTTTTCTCACCTCTTAACTCTTTATTAATTTCATATACATTCCTATGACAAGTCCATGTGTGATCAGATTGTTAGAAATGTGTTGCACAAATATATTACACGGTTCAGACAGATTACGTCTTCTTATTGCTTTCTCAATTTATCTCAAATAAGTTGAGAAATATTTTGACTTCTCGCACACTGTGTGCTGACTGAATGTGCTGTACCTTCATTTCTTCACCAACTGACAGTTTTCCGAGGTGGGTAGTGAGTAATTTGGGTCAGATGTATGAGTACTACGCCAACGATGGATCAACGTGCGGTTATTATTGAAGAACATTTACGAAGGACAGCATGAAGCTTATTAGTGGACAAATTTCTAGTCGTCAAAACACAAGCTACTTACAATTTCCCAGTAGTGTAATTTGTACTGAAAAATGTCAGGTTCAAGGAAACGACATTTGGGCACACATCATTCTTTTAAGAACTAGAAGTGTTCATCTTTTATAAATCAAGTGGAAATTCTACTAATAGACATACTTTCGGTTTAGCGGTGCCTGCAAGTGGAATTCGTACACTTAGAGTATTGTTTCTGTCCACATAAATATATGTTTAAGATATTTTGTGAGAGCGAATTCAGGGCAAAAGCTGGTTTCATGTCGGACCAGTTCTGTGCTGACTTTTAGTTAATGTAGGAGACCAAAGTCCATCTTCCTTTATGGCCAACGAGAAGTCTACGTCTACAAAGAAAAATTCCAATTTCCCTGTTGTTGTCTCTAGGAATTTGTCATCTGAAAACATACTACTTTTATTAACAAAAATATTTCTACCGTCAACAGTTCATTTGATGCCGCTCTCTCTATTACTCACTGACTTCCATATTGACTAACCAATATGGATGCAATGGAACAAAGAATACTTATATAATGAAGTAAATGACTGTAAATCGCCCAACTTTTCCTCCAATATGATGTAGATGCACAGCAACCGCCTGGTTTGTAATTGTGTGAATTAGAAACCACTTCTCATCAGGTGCCTTACAGTGCACGATGGTCAGTTTCTTAGGAACTATTGCATCTAATTAACAGTGTTTTAATCGTTTTTATGCATCAATCTATGATGTCAGATCGCATTACCCACTCTGGGGAATTTATAAACTCTTTAAGACCAAATAACTTTCAAGTTGCTAACAAAACTAATTAAAACCACTATGGAGGTCGGTAAGGTGCATTAAAACTCACACCTATACTTCGTGTTGCTGTTCCTGTTATCTTTAGTACCAACTGCCGCTCTTTGTCCAACAAGACTATGTATCTGCAGTCCCTTTTATCCTCTGATACTTGTCACAATACGGCTATAATCACGTCACAAGGAACTTGGCTTCATGAACTTTATGAGGAGAATCGTGTCTCACTAAGTGGCTTCACTCTATTTAGACGAGATCGGTTCTGTTCCAAGGAGGAATGAGGCGGTGGTGTGGCAACTTTTATTCATTCTCAGTGGTCCGTTTCAAATAATGTCTGTTTCAAATTCTCGGGTGGCTTTATTGACTGTATTACTATCAAATGTCGTCCTAAACACTTATCAACTTACAAACAAATACTTGTTTCAAACATATATGTTACCCCTGGCTGTTCTCTCTCAGATCTATCTAATTTTGCATATGAATTTACAGCTTTCGCTGCTGCATATCTGGAGAACTCTCTATCAATAGCCACTGGTGATTTCAATCCCTATGACTGCTCCTTCCTTGAATCACTTGGACATGTAAACATTGTTAACTTATCCACTCGAATTGACAAAACACTTGATTTAGTGTTCACTAATAATGTTGGAATATACGAAGTACTCAAACAAGCTCCTATTCTCAACTCTGATCACTGTATTATACGAGTCCTGCCTAAAATATATAGCAAGTCCTACACAAGTGCCTTCTCACACCTTTCCAAGAAAACACAACAGAGATTTTACTCAAAGAATAATATACATAATCTCAGATGCATGTTGAAGGACACCAATTTGGATCTGTTTACTGAACATACACTTGAAGACAGTATCACTGACACAACTGACTATATTAAATTCTGCCCCGATATTTGTTGCCCGAAACAAACACTGTTCAGGAGTTTTGACCAGTACTCATCTCCTCATCTCAAAAACCTACGTAGAATAAAAGAACAAATCTGGTCTCAAAAGGATTAATACTCTAATAAAATCTGAAATCCAAAGTCTGAAGAAAAGATATTAAAATTATCCTGATACCCAAATCATGTACTGGTATAAATGTTAAATTCAAACCTATTGCTATCACTTCTCCTTTTCTGAAATTGATGGAAAAATTACTTCTACTCAATCTTGAACCTTCCTTGAAACGTTTCAGTGACTCTAAACAGTTCGCATATAAACAGAGTAGATGTACTTTAGATGCTGCTGCTATCCTAAATCACAGTTCTGTTTCCTGCTTGTACAAGGGAGTTAAATATGTTCGATGTTATTTCCTCGACTATACATCCGCCTTTGACTCTGTCTCCAGGTGTCTTTCGTTGAAATCACCAAGTGAGTTTTGGACTGTCAACTGGTTGCACTCCTATTTCTCAAACAGAAAGCAGTATAGTGTGTGTGAAGGTAAATCTTCCTCTTCTTTGCTTACTGAAGCCGGTGTTCCTCAAGGTGCTGTTCTTCACCCCCTCACCCATTTTTTCTTTCTTTTTACATGACTTGCCTTGTTCGGAAGAGATCAACTTTGTTAAATATGCTGATTACCTCACTGTTTCGTTACCAATTGCTTCCCGAGCTGCCTGTTCCAAACTGAGTAGCTTTCTGTCCGACCATAGTCAGTGGTCTAGGCTTAATTGTCTTACGTTGAATACCTCCAAATGTCAGACAGTTAATTTCACATTCAGGAATAAAAATGATCTTAACGAACTCATTAGTTCACACGATGCTTGTAGCTATGAGGATATTGATATGGAGAATAAGTCAAGCATGAAATACCTTGGTATACTTCTTCTATCCTCTGATCTTTCCTGGTCTCCTCATATCCTGTCTATTTCTAAGAAAATTCTCCGTCTAACATTCTACATTAAGAAGTTAGGACAATCTGGAATTAGTCGACCTCTACTTTTGCAATTTATCAACTCTTGCATCTCACCTATTATTCTTTATTGCTCCCCCGTGGTCTTTCCTGGACTACTCAAGAAAGATCGTGTCATATTGTGAAGGGTATTTAATGTTGTTAGTAGGGTAAGTTGTGTGCCACTTAGTCAGCTCATTACTATCACAGTCGACAGACACCTAAACTCATGTGAGAAATGGTCTACATCCATATTGTCTGACTCTGAACACCCCCTCCACTCACAAATCTCCCCACGCATCTCATCTGGTGGACTTGAAGTCATTATAAAAGATTATATGCTCGTACAAACAAGTATAAAACTCAACGATACCCAATTTGGCCCGCGTTCTCTGTTAAGCATGAAACTTACGACTTACTGTGTAATTAGCATAAGAAAGTGCTCAGTTATTCTCCTATATTTGTAATTCTATGGTGAGTCTCACTATCCCCATTATCTTATAATTTTGTGTTATTAATATTAATACTATTATTATTCTTATCATTTTACATTTGTACATTCTGACCCTACTGTTTCTGCTAATGCCAGAAGTTGCTGTTATCAGTTTTGGTTAAGTACACCCTGTAATGTATTTCTTCTTCTCCCTCTGTTGTTGTTGTCGTTCAGTAAATTAGACGCAATATTGTACAAAATGCTGAAAATCCCACACTGTATCACAAGTAATGTTTCGGAATAAAGCAAATTATTACTATTGTTATTATTATTCCCTTCATTATATATGCTGATTCTTGAAATAAGAAGACATTTGACAAAGACGGTATGTTGATGTTGTATCCTTCGTTGTCTTGTAATTGGATGTTTAGGGATTTCTCCCAAATAGCGTTATGGTGCATACCACAGAGTGATATTGAGCACTTGGAAACCGCTCACATCAAGCAGTAGATATAAATCGACAGCAAACGATAGAGTGCTGTACATGCGCTTCTGCAATTCAAAGATTTCTCACACGGATAAACTTTGGATTTCTCTGAGTCACCAAATCTTCGTTGACACAATCACCAGACGCCTGAATCAAATGTAGTGAGAATAATAGCCAAATTTTATATTCTCTAGGAATTTGCATTCTGCGATTGATTACTCTCTTTTAATGAAATTGTGTGTAGAGAACTACATTTTCAGAAAATTGTTTAGATGTTGAATTTTGTTAAAACTCTGGACTTCATTCATATAACACTGTTCGATTGGTATTAGTAAACTGGAAGTGAACTCGACCGAGTTGTCTCAATTTACGACAACAGATTATGGACAAAATGATAGAAATATAGAGGTAGGAAGTGGATTGATAGTCTGTATGATTCGTATGTACACTGCACCACGAATATGATTTGTTGTTAAGGCGATGTGGAATCGATTTCGATTGGCTAACCGAAGTCATTGTAATGAGTGGCGATTAAGTGATGAAATGTAAAGCTGTATTGTAGTAGCATTCGAAAGAGTGACCTCCAGATTACTCATCACCTGCATTTCTACCAGTTGATGTTTGACACTCGCCTGGTAATCAGGTCACACTAAACTACAAAGATGGACAAAAGGTAGCCATTGGGAAAAATCAAAAGTTAACCTGTGGGGGAAATCTTTTGATTTGGTTTTTATTCGTGTCTACAAGCCATTTATGCAAAAGACTGCAATTCATTTATGGTAACTTCTAGGTATCAGAATGCACTAATTGCATCCCATAGGCACAGGCATATTTCATTAACCTTAATCATGCACTAATAATGCAGACCATACAAGCTTTCCCAAATCTTTCTTCTTTCCGTCAATAATCTTTGGAATTAATTTAAACACAACGGTCAAGGCCATCTGTAATACTTGATTGCCAGGTGATTGAATTCATTTGGAGATAGAACAAGGTTTTCTGACCTGAAATGTGCCTACAATACGTTTTGAGGCCTCAGTATATAACAATGTTGAAGTGTGTTTAAAGTACATCTCAGGACACTAGTATAAAAGGATGGTGTTCTGCGTTTATAGAATTCCTTTCCTGTGAAATCATCACACTACTCTTCTACTTCTAAAATGGCTGCATTCAATGGGACATGGAAATTTGTTGAAAGTTCTAATTTACGGGAATTGTTTAACGAAATAGGTAACTACATCTTATTATTACTTCATTTATCACTGAAAACAAGGAGCATTCAAAGAATTAGCTGATGCTGCTGACCAATTCAAACCAACTGTCATTCTGACTGTGAATGATACTGAACTACGTATGAAGATTACAATGTTCGATCGTGAAGTTGAACGAGTTTATGAACTGGGCAAAGAAGTTGACGAAGTATCACTGGACGGACGAAATGTTCGAGTGAGTAGAAGAAACAATGTTAAGGCTTTTGGATTTATTGACTCATTGTTATTTAATCGCATATATGAATTAATCACTGTGATCTACTCTGATTTCATCGAACTTATAAGTTGCATTTAGTGACTGGATATTTAGACGGGAATTGACAATGACCGGTCGAATTATTTCCGAATAATTATGAATATATTCTTCCAGTAACCGATTGCCCGAAGTTTGCTTAGTGACCGACTTCAATTAAATTAGATTTCAATTCCCGCCGACTACATGGACTACATAACTCTATGTGGTAGTGGTTTTGATTGAGCTATGTGTGGAGACGTGGCTTGTTCATTTCTGACATAAATATATGGATAAATTCAGTTACTTCTGTCAAATAGACGAACAGATGTTGGCATGTTTGAGCCACACACAATTTGTAAGATGGGTGCAACAAGAGGGTTGGATTGAGAGAGCGAGGTAATAACTGTGGCGCAACTAAATGTGTACGGTGAGTTTTAGGTAACTCGGAAAATTAGGATATATTTCGTTCTCATTCAATCTACCACTCGAGAATTTACCAGTATCGAAGTGGTTTACGTCACAGGTGAGTATCAGTCGAGCCTTTCCATTGTACTCACTGCTTGTATTACAACTCTGACAAATGGTAGTGATCACGTTACACGTTAGATAGTGTTGAATAGCTTAACGATGAGTGACTGAAAAAATCATAAGGGGAAGGTGGAGACTTGTGAATATTATCGTGAAGACAACTCGCACAGACTAAAGTCGTTCGAACGATATTGAACGAAAGCTAGAAAACATAATGACTAACACCACAGACCTGTTTCTGGTGAAGTTAGCGACTTAACGGTGAGTTTGATTGTGCAAGTGTGTGAAAGATATATAGGTGGCACTCTTGAAATTTCAGTGACTTTTTAAATAAGGCAAACTATTTGACTCCTCGAAATTACACCTGTCAAACACATCATGATTCTGATGCATTTGCATCTTCGTACAAATGCATGTCTGTGTTTTATTACTGTTCTTCTTTGTAACAAGTTGACTTGTTAGACGTTGTAGTTGAATTCACCAATGAAGACCTTCGGGTTTTGTGATTACGGCTTTCTCCGCTTTATCATTATGGTGCTAATTTGAATTTTGATACTGTAAGAAATCTACATTTGCAGCATGTTATACTTATCCTTGTATGTGACCGAATCTTGATCACATTCCTCCCATCCAACAGACTCTACTGACGGCTGAATCAGAGAAACTCACATACAAACAAACCGATGGTGGTAATCTAGAAGTCTGCGCTACATGTGAAGTCCATGGAGATATAATGACCACAGTGAGTCTCCTCAGTCTCTTTTCTTCTGTTTTAATGTGTAAATTAAATTAGCGAATATTAATCTGTCGAGAGTACTTTATGTATACCAAATACTTGTATGTCTTCTTCACGTCTCAGATGATTGATTGAGATGTGGATGTTGCTCAACACGAGGTTCAAACAAGCAATATTATACATGTTTGAGGCGTTGTTCATGAGATTCAATAATGAAATCAAATCTATATGAGCCAAACGTATGAGTCAATCAGTGTGGCGTGTATTATTCACTATCTCTACTGATAATACCTACTGAGACACTAATACATGTGCGATGACTGGTCACTCAGTGGGAATAATGTCAGTGATGCATGAATGACGTTAACGAATGTGTCACACCGACTACTGCTCACAGTGTGGACGTGTATATTTTTAATCGAATTGGAATGTTGGCTGACATTTTAAGTCCACTCCACTATATGCTCTTCTGAAAGTCTTCCATCAAACAACATAGCGAGGTTTCATTGTTTGATTGTTTAGAATATGCAGAGAATATAACACACATCTGGGATTTCATTTCTCAGTGAAATGAACACAGGTAGGAGGTGTATAATATATGTGTAAATCTTGGGCACTGTGTTAGTATGCAATTCCACATTAGTTTGTTTATTAGATATATCACACAGTGAAACAGTATGATTTACTGGATGACAAAGTTTCGAACACAATTTATTGCTATTCATAATCATATCAGTTATAATCACACGACTTCGAACCTTGACTTTTATAGTTTTCTTTGTTCTCTGCACAATTTTCGTAGGTGTAGTAGAGTTTTCCAGATGTCATGGTGGACAGGTGTTGAATCATTCGTGTTACACGTGTTTGCAGTTGATTCGATAAACAAAGCTTCCGTTATCAATCTCTGTCTCCATCCCGTTACATTAGATTTTAAAACTGTCATCCGGAAAATAATACTGTTTCACTGTGTGATATATCTAATAAACAAACTAACAGGAGGTGTATAATTCACAGATATACGAGGGCTGCTACCTCCTTCTCATGTCAGATTTCTCAACTCTATTATCATTGAAAATATTTGAGGTTTAGATACCTGAAGTGTGAAAGACAAAATACTTGAGCTCTATGTTTGACAGACACTGGTGTTATCGGATGACGGCCATGTTATTTCGGTGAATCGACTCTTCTCGTTAATTGTAAACAACCAGTTTTGAGGACATCGTCTCAGTGTCATCGCATGTTTACCATGGTAGGTGTGTGTTGTGCATGCTTACTGTTGAACATCTCTATGTCATTTTGACGTAGGTAGGTATGTGGTGTCCTCTCGTCTTCCCTCTTTCCTTGTTTGCCTCGTCAGTATTTGGTTGCAGTGAGAGAAAGTCTCTGAATGGATCAGCTTGCGGTAAACCGTCCATTTACCTGAACGATGAATTTTTGATCTCCTGTTTTGATAGTTTTCCTCCTAATTGGTCTTTCGACTGTTTTCTCTTGTACTTACAGATAATTAGTGTTGGAAATGTAACTGCAAATCTCAAGTACGAACGTGTTTGCTGCGGAGTATGAATGAAATGAAAATACATTGTTCAAACGACATTACCAATCAATGTACATGTCATCCTCCAGGGTTCTTCATGTTGTTTGTCACTTGTAACGTGCAATTTCTGGTTTTAGTAATATTGATATAAATATTTTCACTTATTGTGTGTCTCCTGTAACTTTGCGGTAAATATAAATTTAACATTTTGTTTGAGTTTCTTCTGACAGAAGTCATTGTAAAGACAGATTTGACTGTGAGAGATATTCCACTGTCTTTCTCCGACGTCACTACTACCCTGTATTTCACTGACACCATGGTGGCCATCTGTAGACAGTAGTCGACTACGAGATCCAGGAGTAAACTGTGAGAGATTCCAGTATCTTTTGAAAGCGTTTAGTGAGGTCAACGAATGTTCTTATCTACATCAATGGAATAAGTTCATTCACATATCTCTGCTCTGTCTGCACTTTACAAGTGACAACGGAACACTGTAGTACATGAATTCATAGCGTGTAACTCCATCGGTTATAAGAATCTGCTACGTAGGACAAACACGTCTACATCTGTTGACGTTTTATACAAGACATCTTTTGACGTCTTCCACAAATCTTTAAATGGCTTGTAATATCATTACGCTTCATAATGCAGATACATTCTGAAAATCACTTCTCTGTAGTTAAGTGTTTTGCAAGTAATATTTATTGGTCATAAACATACATGGTGATGTACGACGTTGAAATCTCTGTACTCACAGTAATGATTAATATCTTCATAATTTACATATTGCACTCCTCGCTTTTTATTTGGTCACAGTTGGAGTGCACTTAGGGTAAAATGCTAGCTTGACTGTTGTATCACTGGAGGTATTTCAGAAGATCACAACCTAGATTTGGAAGCTATTATGTTCACTCACCAATAATATGAACGGTACTGCTGATTCATGTAGGAGGGATGTTGAAGGAGTGTTTCAATGGCTTATAAGTGAGAATATGACGTCCTTCACTTTCTTACTTAAGGAAACTTTTGGACAGGGGTTTCTACAGTGAACTGTCTCAGCATTAAGCTTCTATCCTAGTCTTTTAGTTTATAGTTCGTAGTTTCGGAACTTATTCCCAGTCACATAAACACTTTCTGTTGTTGCTTCACTTTGAGAAATGTATTTGTTGTTTTTGTTTGCTTAAACTGGGATATATTTCCAGTTATTCAGAAATCTAATATTCTGGCTTCTTTGATAAATTTCTAGTGTATTTGTGCATTTCTTTGTAAATCAAATACCACCTGTCTATGGAAACGAAATTTCAGCCTCCGCAAAGGTTTATTCATCCTACTAATCAGAGTGATAAAGGGACGAATCATTGAAACATTAAAATGTATATTTATTAGAATTGCTTCTTGTCACTTGAAGTTACACTAAATACTTTGTGATCGATAACAGATCTGAATATCAGTGACTAATTTCCTAGATCCAATATGCGTTTGAATCTGTCTGTCATACCAGCTGTCATTATTAACTGATTTTAATGTTGGCGGGAATAGAAAATAATCGGTAAGAAATAAGTTTGAAATCATGCCATAGTTTCCTACCTCATGATCATCATCCCAGTACCTGAAGTTTTATTTGAAATTACTCAAACGGCAGATTACCTAACTCCTATTTGCCGAGACTGAAACTGGTTTATCTGAGGACGAATGACAATAAAGAATTGGTTACCTGTTCCTACATAAAAGGTCTGTATACTGATATGTCAGTGGGCGTGGTCCTGGAAATTGCCGGAGGTCAGCTTATCCTCAACCATATGTTCATTCATAAAACTGACTTACTGGTTGAAAAGCCAGTGCCACAAGTATAATCGTTTTTGACGTCAACCGTCTTAAAATTCATAGCAACACACATATAGTCAAAAGGAAAGAGTATGTACATGCTGTTGATGAAAATCTTCAAAAATTGACTTGTTAGGTATTCTGGTAATGATGGTTTTATGACATCAGTTTTCAGGATACACCATGGAGCTGTGATGCTTATCTGAAGCTAGTACAGTATTCTTTCTATTTCTCTCTTTGCGTTCCGAGAAGAATGTAGGGCTTCAAGATTTGGACTTTGAAGTTTCAGTGGCGTAAGTGTTTTCTCTAAAGAATGAGGTTGCTGGTCTCAAGGCTAACCTTCTCTCTTATTATGTTGCTCATACCTTCTATCTAAAACTTGAAATCATTGTAAAAAGTATGTTCAGAAATTTTGTAACATATAATTGAGTTATTTAGTATGTACGCAGTTGAGGAGAGTCCACGAAATAAGACGAGCTCGTATTATCCTACAAATGTGTTCGTTCTTTCTTTATTCAAACTAATAAAGGTAACCGGCTGTATGAAACTTCTCTCTTTTCTTGGCTTACTACAGGCTAGGGGGTTTAGTATTGCGTCAGCAGGGAATCAAACCCAAATCTCCCATGTGGCTGGTGAACAACCTAAAATTCAGTCACTGGCACACCCTAGTGTTCTAGAACATCCTTATATTTTCATTTGCTATTAACATTTGAGTAGCTAAGGTAATTTATTTAATCCAATTTTTTTTCACCTTTACTCTTGGCTAAGCAGATTTTGTTTTATTTGTAAAGAAAATGAGAAAGAATTCCGAATTATACAAGGAATTTTTAAGTAGTGATACACATTAGGCAGACAATTCTCTATCTGAATATAAAGCCTGCTTGAGGTAAATTATAGACTGTAATAGCAATTAGAACTTTCTCCGTTACAAGTAAACCACCTGAAGAACATGGTGTTTGTCCATTCCTCGTGTTCTACAGTGTTCTCACAACAATGAACATATGACATATGGGTCTAAAAAACAAACGATCATTGTATTACACACGAATTCAACAATCCTACTGGTTGACACTGTCGAGTTATTATTATGACTGAAACATCTATCCATAAAACGCTTTTCGACAATTATATTCTCAAATGAATAACTCGTGATGGGTGTTTTAAACTTCATTGCAGTTTTATTTGAATGGAATGCAATGAAGCTACTGAATTACATTAAAGCACTTTTGACGGATGACGTCAAAAGTTTCTAGACTACTGGTGACTTCATTCAATGTCAGCCGTGAACATTAACACGACTGTGGTTACTCTTCAGATTTCTACATGTGACCAAATTAAGGGGTATTAGTGTTTGCCTTTTATGTTTTACCCTTTTTGGATATCACGTATTCAATTATTTTCTTAAGTTATAATAATAAGGCAAAGTTCAACAAAAGCGTCCCAAGGGATGTGAAAGCACGAGTGACTTTCAGCCGACTAATCATAAAAATGAGGAACTTTGCAAAAAAAGTGACGTATATTTACAAGAAAATGCGTGAAACCGCATTAAACAGGTTATCTTTCTCTAACATGACCTAAAAATACGCCCCAGTTATAATAAGGAGCATCAGTTGCTAAGTTAGACTAGTTTCTTTACATGTACACTGAG